GAGAATAATGAGAGTGGAGAGAGGTGCAGAAGAGGAAGCAAGTTCTCTTTTTACTTTCATCTTTTACACTAAACATCTATGGTTTAGGTTCAGCGTTGTATAAGCGGTTTTGCAGGAGGTGCCTGATGCATTGCAGATAACAGGTTAAATATTCACTGTAAATTTTAGATGCTAATTTCAGCAAAACATTTAGTTGTTATTGCTGTTTCAACTGTGCTGCCTGCAGAGACCGGAAAATTTTGCGGTAGCCAACGTTTTTAATTGAACGAAACTATATTTGCTGGTTATTTGCAAACACAGTATCGGATGTGGTGTTTGTAATGGATATTGCTGTGAACTCTTTGAAGATTTCATTAAATCCAATTGTTGGATTTTTTCGTGCACGGATCATCCCAAAGTTCTGTGCAGTTATTAATGCATAAATTCAGCAAATTGTTGTACTTGCAGTGTTTGTTGCTCCTTATTGGTCTTATTGGTTACTTGAGCTACTGGATGAGATTGCTTGTTGGAAAGGCGGCAAGCATTATTGTCACCGGAGACCAAAGTTCAGTGTATGTGTGTGTTTGTGTGTATGTAAAGAAACAATGTGTTTGAATTTGCTCTATGTTAGTGCACTTCGGGCGGTTTGTTCATTGGACTTGTTTTCATTCCGCTTCTGGTTTCTTTTTCCCTATTGATTGATGATGTTTTGGTTGATATGAACCGTGGATTTGAGTTTTTGGAAGCAAAATGTTGAGCATTCTGGATACTCTAAACGGGAGATGGGTAAAGGTGAGCGTGGAATTTTTTAGGTATTGATTGTTGGCTGATTGAAGAAGTTTGTATGTGTATGTGGTTTTTACGAATATGTGTAATTTTAAAAAGGTGCTAAAAATGATTGTTAAAAAATAATGAAATTTTAATTTGCAGTAACAAGGTCAGTAGTACTCTGTGACTGTGTAGACGACTTTTTCTTTTGGTGGCTTATAGTGAATTTTGAAATAAGTAACCTGAGAATTTGCTAGCGATATTTAATAGAGATTATACATGACTGGAATATTCCCTTTGCCTTTAATTCATATGATTCTTTAATATGAATTTTTGTATAATGTTCTGAAAACTGTGTAGCTTTTACAAGTGTACTGTAAAGTGAAAAAAAAGGGCTTGATCAAATTTATGAAAGAAAAATAGGTTAATAGTACTATAAAAAGCTTGGTTTGCTGTTGATATTTGCATTTGTTTTTCAGGAAATATATTTTTAAGTAAAAATTGAAATTTTAGTGAAAGTTGCTGAGAAAGTTATTTATCAAAATTTTTGCGCAGTTGTTGACACCTAATTTGGCTTGTTCATATGTGAATGTTCTTATGTTCACATGTTCACCACTGATAAAGAGTTTAAAAAGCCAGTTTTCAATTTTTTGTTGAATACTAGGGGTGCAAAACATTTTCTGAGCACTAAATTCTTCTGTCGATCCATCGCAGAGAAGTCATAGTTTGAACTTGTTTTATTGAGCAGATAAGGGCAGCTTATTTTACGGAATGCCAAGACAGCGCCTTTCTTTAGCATATTGTTGGGCCTGGATTGATAGAGATGGTTTGATATTACTGTTATCATTGCTTATTACTTATTAAAATTGTAGCTGCGAATGGTTTGCAACGGTTGTTAGGCAAATTTATCCTCACGTTTCAGTGTTCCTTTTAAGCAGCATTACTTACACTTTCCCACGCCTATAATTTGATCAGAAAAAATTTGTTGAAATTTATCCAAGCAGTATTGGGATGTAAAAATGTTTTTGTTGGGGAAAATGAATGACTGCATTTTGTTGACTTTGCCTGGGTGTTGACCGAAGGAATAAAAACAGGCTTTTTGAAACTTAGCATATCGGTGTAACTGTTAAAGTTGCCAACAGACGGCAATTTTGTGTTTTTAAGCGGACGGCAGAGTTCTAAATTTTGAAAACATTGGCACATAATAAATTTGTTTGTAGACAAGTCTGTTGAAACAAGTGATAATTAGAAAAAGTCGAGTTAAATTTCATGGTGAAGACTGGTTTCTGCTTTGTTATTAGCAAGTGACCTTTGACTGTTAATTTGAACTGATGATGAGAATGCGCAAAGAGCTGCGAACCGAGATCCATCTTGAATTCACCTGTGAGAATACTGGGGTGAAAATATTGAATTGTTAAATTATCTAAAAATATCTATTAGAACTGCGGTAATAGGGGGTTGAGAAACTGTAAGCAGTTAGAAATGCGAATACTGTATATGAACTGGTGCTTTTTTTGTTTTTCATTTTTTATGGTGTTTACTGTATAATATGTGTGGCTTCTCAGTTTCTTATTTTTGTTATTTTATCATTCTATTAATCTCTTCTAATCTGCTATACTCGAACAGTAACGCATTATGGGGGTTGAAGTTTCGCGGTATATCAAAATTTCGGCGAGATATGAGGCTATTTTGTGTAAGGGCATAGCGCGAAGTGGATTTTTGATTTAAAGGTCTTTTTTGGTCTGGAACCAAAAGATTAAGGGTGGTATAAAATGCGTCTAGGTTAAAGTGTTGTCACACTCATTTATTACATTGAAAATGACAGTTTTATTTGTTCCTTTCCACTTATTAAATTCCTTTTCATTTCTTATGACTTATGGTAAAACGATGTAACCATTTTGTTGTCTTGGGGTTGACGTTTGGAAACTTCAGATTGCTTGAACTTGGTCGTATAAACCCAGCAATGAGGTCTAATTTCTCTATACATTGTCTGTTTCCCATTAATCTTCCGATATGGGAAGTTCTTGTTGTCCTTTTTTGTCATATGGTTCAGAACTGTAGCGTGCATCGTGCTAATTATGCGACAAAAATAACTGAGAAAGTTGAAAATATAGATTCTTTATTTTTAAAACGTGACTATTCCCATCAACAGTGTTTAAAAATTCTTCTTCAAGATTTACTTTGGAAAAGAAAAATAGGTTTTAGTTTAACGAAGTTATTTGGGTGTTAAACTAGTCACTAAAAACAAGTTTTGAAAGTTTTACTATATTGGTATCACAGTTAAAGGTGAGAACAAAAATTGCATTTGGTGGTTGTGCGACTGGTGGTATCGTCTAGGGTCAAAAGAGGGAGAAAGTATAGAAGTTTTCAACCACGTTGTTGGTTTCGTTTACGTCCTAATTAGGTTGAGTTTTTCGCTCTTTTCTACAACGTGTTGCAGGTTAGACCGTCGATGGTAAGCAATCGAAATTTTATTTCTATATTAAAATCCTCTTTATTCTGTATAGTTGTCGGCCTATGTTTTCCTGGATAGATAAGTTTTCGCGGTGCATGTCTGCTTGTAGTCTAGTCTTAGTTCAGGTTCCTTCTAGTATTCAGGAAGTCAGAGCGGTATGTATTTGTCGTGGTCTTAGAATACAGTTGCATATCGTGTAAACTGTGTGTTTTATCTATACAGTTTCATTAAAATCCACTTATTGAGGCGAGGGGGAAGGAAACTGTTGCTTTATGTGCTCAAACGTAGCATATCAGGTTTTACATTAGCCTTCATTGGTCACCTTGGTGAATTGCTTCAGTGAAGACCAAAGTAAATTTTTTGTTCAGGACATCTTTTTTTTGATTAAGGAACTGAAATACTCTGCAGTAGGGTATGGCGATTGATTAGTGCTTATTGCTGTTGGCCATACGAGATTGATTTATCCGCGCCTGATGGCATATTTTTTTTTTTATAATTTCATCTGCAAAAAATAATACGTTCTTAACATGCAAGCAGTTTACAGCACCATCGCCTTAACCATTTAGAGTCAATACTTGTTATGTGATACTAAGCAGTCTATAGTTTTTTATTGCAAAGGAAGAAACTGGATTGTTGATCTGCGTTCATTCTCGCCATAGGTATACAGATTTTTGTCGACACTGTTTATTTTTTAACTCGTTTCAGTTCAAAATTTCCAATAGACTGTAGTTTGGTAGTTTGGTTTCAGATTTTTATATGCTATGGAGACAGAACATCGATGCAACTTGTCATCTCGTACTAGCTCAAGTTCTTTATCGTCTTCATCAAGCAGTTGGTCTTTAGTTGGCAAAGGACAGGTGAATCTTGAAAGCATTAGATTTTACGGTAACCTGTGCAACGGACTGATTTTTGCAGGAAGAAGATCATGCTGCATTAAAACCCTCAGCGTCTTCCGAGGGTCTGAATGATTTACAGAGTAGCGAAGTCACGTCATCTGATCAAACTGAATTGGTATTTTGTTTTTTTAATCTTTGTTTTTTACAGTGAGAACTTCGTACAACTTTATTTCTGAAATCATGACTTGTTTAATTGTTGAGAAATGTTGAGTTAGGTGTAATTGTTGAATGACGCATACGTTAGTGAAATTTGTAGAAGTCAGAAACGAGCTGCGATGATTCTTCGTTAGGCGTATTTGAAAATTCGCTTCAAGATGGTGTCTGCAGCAGTACGACTATTGAAAGTCTTCCTGATGACGAAACCAGTGAGGAGTTCGACCGTATTGATAGAGGTAAAGAAGAAACTTCTGAAGAAGAAGTATCTTTGACGTCGATTGTTGCAACCGGTAGCACGTGTTCCTGCTCGGACGTCGGCGATGTATGTATAAAAGGATGCGAGGCAGAAAAAGATTTGGTGGTGGTCAGTAAGAGCAGTGAACAGACTGCCCCCGTCGAAGACTCCGGGTTAAAAGAAATACCGGAGGTTGTGTTCCGAAGTATGCATTTAGATTCCTTGTTCATTCTTTGTTCTAGCTATTTCTTTCGATCTTTTTTTCTTTTATAGCGTTAGAAATAGTTTTGGTATGCTAGAAAACTTTGTTTTAAATTTTTGTACTTATTTTTACCTCATCGCTGAGGCTGCACTTTTTTGCTTTAGATCTTGCAGTGCAGAATTTAGTATTGATTTTGAAAGGTGTTGGTTTGTAAGGTCATTTTTGAAGTGGTGACTATTTCTAAGCTTGTTGCCGGAAGAATATTAGGTGGTCGGTAAGGTGGTTATTGCTCGCGTCATTGAAGAGTTATATGGAAGAAACTGTAGAACCTACGATCGTTAAGGTTAAAGATTTGTTTGAAAGTGGTTGGATATGCACTACCAATGCCTTGAAGACGTGCATTTGGAGAGATAATTCAGCTTAATTTTACTGTGCATTTCTGTAATAATTTCCTTCGGGTAAAGAAGGGATGCTTCAAACGTTTTCTTACGTTTTGCCGCATTGAAAAGTTTATAATTTTTGAAAAATAATTGTTTCATATTCGCTCAAAAGCGTATACGTTTTCGAATTCGAGTATTTTGAGTAAAAATCAATCATTTTGCGGTTACGGTTAGTTCTGCTTATCTCCGGTGGTAGAAATGGGATGATTCCTGGTTGAGATGTTAAGTTTTTAATGTATACTACTGATTCCTTCAAAGACTCGTGTCTTTTTTACTGTAGCGATTCACTACTAGAAGGTCACGGAAGGCTTAAGTCGGTTGGGGTTGTAATATTTGTTTTTCCGGGCCTTTTTGAGTCTTTTCGGAGGTTTTGTAAAATTGTTTATTAGGGCTGGGAGAATTGGTAAGGTAAGGCATTGTTTTTCACTCTGGTACAAATCTTCAAGTTCAGAGAATGTTGAGAGGAGAGGGGGGCACGCTCTGATTAGACGGTTTGAGACTTATATATAAGCTGTTGGACAGTTATCACAGTCAGTCACAAGCAGGGGGACAGTAAATGTTTTTTTGTTTTTTTTTTTTACCGTTTAAATTTTTTCCTAAAGATTCAGAAGTGTAATCGTTTCTGAATCTGTGTATTTTAAGTATAAATTAATCCTCACTTCTTAACACCTGAATTATCGTTTCGTTAGGGACTACTTTTTGGTAAGTCATGTAATAAATGCTGTTACTAAAAGTGTAACGCTAAAAGTTTGCTTTTGAGAATTTGGTTACACCTGAATTTCAAGGCTGTTTGGTAGAAACGGACAAGTGCTACTTACATTAGTTTGCCAGAACTTAGTTCTATACGTCCAGAGATTAAAATTTGTTATATTATGGGCTTTAGACTGTCGATTGTACACAGTAGTGCTGTAAAATTCAAAAATAATGACTGAACAGTGCTGAAAGGAAGAGTTAAGAAACTATAAGGAGATTTTGAAAAGTTGGTCATATCACTACTAAGGGAGTGAGGGGAGAGCGCAGTCCTGCTCTAACTGTTTTCTTCGTAACTGCATTTGAAACGAAAAGCTTGTTGTTATGAAGTTATTGCTGGAGCTTTTTTTCTTTATTATTTAGTTTTAAAAGGTACAAAAGCTGTGTTTTTTTTTCAGGTTTTATGGTGGAAACCGCATGTGTTTGCTTAATTGCTGTATTTGTATTATTGACATTTCATTTATGGGTTTTTATCGGCAGCTCACCTGGCGTACCTCAGAAAGGTGTTTCCTCAGCTCTGGTTTTTTGCTTTTAATGCGTTTAGTATTTCGGAACAGATTTTGGTACTTAATTTGGATTGCTTTGAAGAAATTGAATGGTTTAAAAAATGTTTTTAGGGTCGTTTGATCGCCTGAGTGTCAATGAGGGTTTGAAATCACGAAGAACAGCATCTGAACTTGAAGTAAAAACTTTTTCAAACTACCTGCTTTATGAAAGAGCCATATATCTGTGTAATACGCAAATTGCAGAAAGGATCAAAGGTTGTCGATTCTGGAATTAAACTTGTATACAAAAGAAAAACTAAAGAGCCAGTGAGGAGAAGTGCGTTCCTAGAATTGGTTGAAGGGTACTGTGCAAAAAATGGAAAATCTTCATTTAACCATGTAAGTGACACATGTTGCGCCCGCATCTGTACTGCTCTTCTTTGCACCATTTTAATTTTTTTGACAGCTGTTCTTATTCGGAGAATGGTTGTGGTGAAAGACTTACCACTATTCGTGAATGTTTCTCACTACCTCGTTTTGTTTTTACTGTTTCTTAGCATCTGGGTAGTGTGGTGTCAGAACAGCATAGGTTTTTGTACGGTACCAGAAAAAATTAAAGTTCGACAAGTCTTTTGTTTTTGAAACTTTTTTGAAATATCAGACATACTGTTCTTGGTCAAACGGACGAGGAGAAATCCATCGTGGAACACAGGGTGAATCACAACGAAAAACCGTTGAAAATTTAATTTCTAAGGGCTTCAGTTCAGAAGCAAGAAGGAAGTTGAAGATGATGGCTGAAAAAGCTAAAAAGGGCGTGCGGTATTTCAAGAAACAGCTAAGAAGTTTAAAAGAAAATGTTAGTTTGCAAAAATTTATGGTGAGCAATAACTCTACTTTGTACTAACCTTTTTTGCGCAGAATATTTTGAGTATAAATGTTTTTGGAAGTGATTGTTGACGATTCAGTTCTTGTTGTAGAGGAGATTGCTTTTTTGCTATTCGCTTTTGTTCGTGAGCTGATATTGTTTGATGTTCTGTTCATCTTTTTTTTTTCTAGTACTAGCTTTGATATCACTAGTCAGTAAGGAAGAGATAAAATGAGGGGGGGTCTTCATTTTAGAACTCTCTTGAGCCCTCATTTACTTACAGAATCACTTCATCAAACAGGATTTATTAGTGGAAGTTCTGAATCAAATAAAAGTACTCGAGCAAAAAAGATTTAGGACGTTTCAATCATCACTCACTCGTCTAGAGTCGTTTGCTGCAAAGCTTCAACAAAAATGGGTAATACTTTTTTTTTTAACTTTGGGATAGCTAATTTATTGTGAAATGAATGAAGGGTTCCACCGAAGTAGATTCATTCAGAAGAAAGTAATGAGGTGGCCAAGTACTTGCCGGTCCAACCCACCCGAAGAGCGTTATCCGAACCTTGACTATGATTGTATTGCTCTGATTGAGTTGGCAAATTCTCTGAATCGGGAAGACCTTTTACAGAAACATATTGGAGTAGAAGCAGCTAAACAGGTATGTTTGTAGCGACATTCACGTTTTCTTATGACAATTCTTTACAGGTGTGGTTGCCTTAGTTTCATTATATCTATTCGATAATGTCTAAATTTCAGTATTTTGATTTGCTGTATGACATTTCGTCCTGTGACAGGAAACGAATTGATTGTGAGAGGTGTTTTTGGACAGGAGTCTGCGATAAAAGTGTTAGTTCTGTGTGCAACATTTGTTTGTAGATCGTGAATTTTCAATTTATTGTTACTGTGCAAAAAAGCATGTTATTTGTGTGGAATATTTCCTAGTATTGTAGGCTGAATGCTTGTTCCACTCATGGCAGAAGGATTTTGACGTGAAGAGTTTTGTCTGCAAGGGCAGAGAAGTTTTGTCGAGCTCATTTTCGAAACTGAATTGGCGCTTACCATTTGATTGTTCTTTCAAGTCTGGTGATCCTTAGAAGAGGTCTTTATGCAATGACAACTGATATACTTATAACACGTCCAATGTAGTAGTTTTTAGAAATGACACAGGATGCAAGGGACACTGAGAAGTCAAAGTCTTTAATCATGAACAATCATGGAAATGAGAAGGAAGTGTCTAACAGCGCGAAAGTAGCGCATAGTAAACGCAGTCGCTCTTCCAGATGTCCCCTGCAACATGTAGGTTTACCATCTAGTCTTCTCATTCGAGTGAATACTTTGCCCAGCGGGTGTTATTTAGAACTACTGTAAGAGTCAAATTGCTGTTCAGTTTCCCCAGAGGTAGTTCAGTGCAGGGGTACAATGACTGGAGATGGGGCACCCAAATCATACTCTGCCGAGATTCTTGCAGAGTGTGCTTAAGAAGGAACTTGTTGGTCAGAGAGATCTATTAGGTTGTGTGTGGACTATTTCAACCTTTTATACTTACAGCCCACTGTTACATGATTGAATCTTCAACTACCTGAGGGTAAAAAAGTGCATCGGGAAGCTACAAGGTACTTAAACTTTTGGTGCTTCCAATGGAAAAAGTGATCTATAGATACTGGTATAAAAGTGTGTATCAGAGAGAACATTGCTAAAGCAGGGCTGCAAAAGCAGTCAGTTTTTGACCGCTGACCACTTTGGGTTGTTGCTGTTGTTTTGAAAGAGAGTAAGCTGGAGAATTGTTTTAAAGTCGTACGACATTTACGTTGACTGTTGGTAGTGATGTGATAACCAACGAAGTTTAGACGTTCCTTTCTACGAAGCAACAAGATTTATTGGAATACTACCAAAGGCTGGCAAATTTGGAGTCTACAAGGGAGTATGGGCTTCGAGAATGGGCGGCTGAAGTGTTAAAAGCCACTCGTCAAGGGATTAAGCTGAGGTTATCTCTCAGGACGGTACGGTAGTATTAGTTCTTACTTAAATAAGGTTTTATTGCTTCGTTGCAGTTGAGACGTGTCCATTTCCAAAACCATTGCTCAGCTCCATTAAAGGACTGCCCTGGCGTTTGTGATGGATAGTATTCGTAGTTTTTAGTGAGTTTTTTAAGATTGATTAGAGCTATACTGTTGGCCGGCTACCTTTTTTTTGAGGGGGGAGCAATAATTTTGACCAAGGTTGCTTTTAATTTCCTCAATTAACTTTATTTTACTGGTGAGGTTTAGTAAGATTCGGTCTCTTTAAACTGGGCAGAAACGGTTAAGAATTGCTGAAATTAAGGGTAGGAAGCTGTGGGGCTAGTCAGAAAGCTGGAAGAAAATAAAATGATGCTATCGACTATTATTAGGGCAACGGCGTTGTATCTGTTGCGGGAAAGTCGAAGTAAAAGGTTTTTGGAAAGGGCACTGTTAACTGCAGTAGGGCTAAGTTAAGTGGGCATGTGACTAAATTTTTGCTTTTAAGAACATCGAGTCGGCTAGTTGGGAGAACACCTTGCATTACTGGGAATATTTGGCGAATGAAGAAGCGAAAAGAGAGCTAGCATTGGATCACTGGATAACAGAATTTCTCAGAGTCGCAAGACGGGGGACTTCTGTTTCTTTGAAAGCTGTAAGTTTTGAGAAATGTTATGCTACTAAACTATTTAATTGAAGTTCAGGAGGTAGCCGCTATTGTTAGGCCAATGGCAACTGATGTTTTGTGTAGATGCGTGGGTGAGAGGCTGTCTGCTTAAGAGTGGTGGTTTTTGAGGTGTAGGGACTTGTTATGGGGTCGCGGCTGCGTGCAGTGACAGGTCTGGGCAGCGCGGGCTGCCTTCAAGGGTAAGTCACAGGCCGGAACAAAACGGTGTCAAGCTACTACTACGGAATTGCTACGTTTAAGGGAGACTTTGCGCATTCTTCCATTTTGCTGGTTAAGTACTGGGAAGCTACTCTTCACTGTTTATGTAAAATTCCATCCGTGCCGAAGTCTCTTTTTCAGCACCCTGTCAGTGAAATATTAGAAAGGCAAAACCCGCCAGAGCGACGCTGTTGAACACGACCCTAGCTAGTATGGGTATGTCCGAATTGCCATTACTTCATCCTTTAGAAGCGCAGTGTTAGAAGTAGAAGATCGAGCAGGATGTAGACAGTCCATTTAATCTTTTATACTTGGTATCACATGTAGATCCCCACCTATTGCTTCAAAATTAAGTTCCGGGTGGTTGTACAAAAATGCCTTGCAATATAATAAAATACAAATTTTTATCTTTTTTCTAGGCTGGTAGACACCAGTCAGTCATGATGAGCATATAGTAACTAAGGCAACAACAACTATTGTACTCAAATTCGGGAAGTAGAAATTTTTGTTAGAGTTCGAGTACCTGACGATTTAGAGGGACAATAAGGCACTTGTGTTTTTTAGAACTGCAGAAACACTGAAAAAAGAAGCCACACATGCAATTACACATATTAAGTACAACCAAATGAAATCAGTTATAATTAGTTTTCTGGCAGTTCAGGCTTAGAAAAGAATAAAAGCTCATAAAAAAACGTATTTGTTGAAATAACTGAGCAATTTGGAATTTAAGAGATAAGTTTGAAAAGCATCAGAGTAAATTAATTTCGAATCTGTGGAAGTTATGGCAAAAAATGAAAACCAAGGAAATGAAAGTAACAAAAGTGAAGTAGAAGTTATGTGATTGAAGTGTATGAACAGAGTATCATGTTGTGATTATGCAATTAGATCAGAAGGCAATTCTACATCAACAGCCGACTTTAATCGGCATCTCTCACCTCACCATTTTCCTTCGTAACTTCGTCTTTCTCATCTTCATTAACCATTGAGGTAACCAAAGACTGCATAGCTCGGCCAAGCTGGTCTACGGATGCTATTAAAGACGGCATACGGTTTGGCCGCGTGTCGTACTCGATCCCTTCATCTTCATCAGCAGAAAAGGCACTCATATCTCGACTTTGACCATTCATCTTGATGTCGTCAAAAACGACATTTTGCTGCTAAAAAATGGGGAAAATGTCATTAGTGGGAAGTAGAGAGCGAACACCACAAGAAAAAAAATCTCAGTCATCGTTCGCTGACTTTTGACAGCACCGTGCGGAGCCTTTCCAGCTGGACTTCAAGTTGTTTGTTTTGCTGTTCCAATATCCGACTACGTTCTTCCAAGCGTTCCTTATGTTGACGTAAAAGTCGTGCCTTTAAGAAATGCCACATTTACGTACGAATTACAGTAGCGAATTAGATTAAACTCCTCTACAAATCAAAAGGTTTCAAGACTTTATAACACACCTCACGCATAAGATGCTCATCAGTGGAATGTGGTAGGGAAGGTACCGAACGACCACTTGCTATACTGGCGTTTGTGTTCCGAGGGAATGAGTGAGTTAGGTTTGGTGTGGACCCAACACCATCAAAATTTTTTCTCCGCTCAATTTCCTTCTTCAGTTCTCTAAATTTAAAACATATTTAACAATAAAATATGCCTTAAATGAAAAAGAGCCGAGATTGCTAGTCTTTTCTGAACTATGTTACCTGTTCTCATTCTGAAGTTTATGAAGCACTTGATGTAATTCTTCTTTATGCATTTGCTCAACTTGTGATAACAGCTGGAGAGGAGATTTAATGTCAATAATGTTAGAATCTTCGACGTTTTCTGGTAGTGCAGGTGAAGTGTCCCCGTTTGCTCTCCACAGTCTATAATCAGAAATAGGCTGTGCCTGATATTTTCAAAACAAAAAAAAAAAAATCTTTAACTGATTTCAATCGCTTATAATCGATTTCAATTTCAATCGATTTCAATCGCTTCAATATCTGCCCATTTAAAAAAAGGAAAATTTTACAAACCGTTGAGCGCATATTTGCATTCGGCTATGGAGGTGTTCAGTAAGTGGATTAGTGGGGATGATATTCTTTGTTTCCAAAGGTATACCTTCATCAACTGTCTGAACGGGGAGATAACCAACACGGGTTTTACTTGATGAACGGAATTTATTCCTCACAATCAAACCAAAGTCTCTCACGTCTTCTCCGGAAGTGGTCTGGAAAAGGATCGGTACAAAAAACTGGTTCAAAACGCTTCCAAAAATCAGTGAGCGTTGTACAAGTGTTATCCTCTTTCTGTTTATAGTCATACGGTATTTAACTAACAGGTACGCAGTATTCTTGCATTGGGTGAGAAAGTTTATGGTTCTTTGCAAGGCGCTGACTGAAGAAACAATTCTGGCATATGTCAAAGTTGAAACACCTCAAACATCGATAACGCAACCCAGTAATGGGGTACATTTTACAAACATTACATTTTGCCTGAAATATTGTTGGGCACAATACTTTTTTTTGACATTAACAAGTACGATCATTTTAAACTAACTGAATCAACTCTCTAAAAGGTAACACTTAATAGGGTACCTGGTGTTTTGCAAATTCAGCACTTGCCAATCTATGCATTACTGGCAACCAAACAATTGTTTGAGGCTCCTTCTTAAGCCACAAAAGAAAATCGTCTATGCCAATCGTTCTAGCAAACTTAACAGTTTCAAAACACGACCTCACAGATGGCTCAACATTTGAACCACCAAAAGCCGCTGCTTCGCCAAAAAATTTAGGAATCTAAACTAAAGCCTTTAGGAACAACTCTATTGAAGCACTGAGGAAAGCACCATAATGTGGTATAATTCTTACGTGAATAGCGTCATACAGCAGCAAAGCCAGACTTTTCTGTTCCAGACCATCTCCAGATGAAACCAACTGGTACAGATCTTTAAAAGGTTTGATTCTTTCAGTAAACTGTTGACTTTTCATCCTCAAATCTAATATTTAAAGTTAAACCCACATTTGTACTTGTCCTCGAGATTTGCGCTGCATAGAAGCACTAGAACAACTTTGAACGAAAAAGTCCGTAAAATGCCATCCCGACCACTGAAAATACAGTTTTTCAGCAAATTCGTATGTTCCGTTGTAAAAATATTTGGAGAAGTAAATGGGTAAATTAAAACCTAGCAATATCCTAATTAAGCGAATGATACAAACCTCAATGTAATAGATGAAGTTAAAAGTAGGTAAAATTTGCGCTGACCAGGTGAAAGCAGCAAAAATGTTGCAGATTTGCATACAAATATTTCTGAGAAAGTTACAGTCAACAAGCTAAAAAGTCATTGCAGCTATAAAAAAAAACAAGAAAAAGTGGAAACTCACGGGTCAAAAACGTCAAGGACAAAATTTAAGAAAAGGTCAACTGCTAATGGGACGGAGCGCACCAAATGAGGGAATTTATTGTGGGCTGATTCAAACAAAGGCACCAAGCACATAATTGCATCTTTTATAGGTAACAGCTGATCATTATTTGTTGCATTCAAGAACTTTAGCTGCGTATCTAGCTCTTGCAAGCCCAGAAGATCCACTAAAAGTATACTTCAAAAAAAAAAATGCACAATGAAATTCATTTGTTCGAGAAAAAGCAATAATTCAAGGAACGAAACGATCCCAAATAGTAAACTTCGTTAGAAATGCGAAGGGACAAACTTACGGCATAATCGTTTCTGGATAGCACGCATTTTCATAGCTGTACGATATGCGCTAAATTTCACCTGATTAAACTTTGAAAGCTGCGAAAGGATTTCCACCATGGCTGGATGATCCCACTGAGTCATTTCCGTTTCGTGACTAGAAAAAACTGTAAGTCAGTTACCACCAACAAAAAAAAATTTACTGTCGTGATTATTATTGACTAGATATTAAAAAATAAGGCCAAATCTAACTTTATGTAGTACGGTAGGTGACTGACGGCAGAAATTGACCGCTGCCAAGGTGGCCGTACACTACTCATTAAGAAATGTTGACTGCAAGGACCAAAATCTGCCAGCGCGTGTTCAAGCGCTGCAATGCGGATTCTGATGTCTACTTTTAGTTTCGCATATCTATAAAACAGTGGTATAAAACCAAGACTTAACAAGACCTCAAACATTTCCAGCACTATTAAAATCTTTAAAATCTGCATAATATGTTTCGTGTATATTTTCTAAAAGCTACGAGTTACTCTTCTTTTGACCGAACATGTTATTTGTAAAATGTCTTCTACACATGAATCAATGAATAAAAAAATAAATGCATGTTTGTGAAGGAATTTCACCAAAGAGTTAGAAAGCACCTGTCATTGACGGACTTGAGTAATGCGGTCGGCTCGAGATCAAGATCGATATTGGAAGCCAAAAGCTGCCCGCACCAGTCATTTGCATCATCTACATGAATTCGTGCACGTGCCAAGGTTTCCTTAAGTACCTCGCTCTCTTTCATGGCACCGACTAGCTGCTCTAGTCGTAACTGTAAAGCAAAGAACTTAAGCCAGTGTACACAGCCAATGCGCACTAAGCAATAACCACTTTAATCACCAGACGTACTACATGTAACTAGATAGTAACAAACTTTCAAAGATTATTTAATGGCCTACACCAAAATCTTTTGATTACAGGTGTGACTATGAAATATCAAGCACGTACTTGTTCCACAGGTGTAAGTTTTTCCATAGTACCCTCCAAGTTTGACAAAGCCAATTGACACTCGGCAACCGCATTAGACATCTGTTCCATCTTCCCATGTGCATCATCCAGAACACGAGACCAATCTTGAGTAAACTTTTTTAATTCTGTCCACTTTTCAACCAAGTCTTCACAATCAGCATTTATTTGTAAACCAACTCGCCGCAGTTCCGCTTCTTCCTCGCCTTGAAAAGTTACCAGAAAGTGATAATACTGCACACCATAAATATGCATTGCAGAAAGAAATAGAGAACCAGATACGTACACACACACATACATGCACACAGAAACACACGCACACTTCCTTAGAAAAAACAGCTAGATCGCCACTGTCTCAAAATAAAAATTAGCGAAAGATATTACTCTTACTATAATAGCATTAAATAACTATAAAGAATTGAGCCACAATAGCAAGAAGTTTCAAATTTCGCTCACTATACAGTTGTGTCTTTTTGCTGTAAACTTTAGTGGTCTAAAACAGGAGACCGCTAAGACGACTTCAAAAAAGCTACCATTACAAATAAATTGGAATCTTTTATATACTTATGAAATAGAGGAACTACTGTAATATATATTGATAAATCGAAAAAAATATCTGAAAATGCAAAGCAGAATCACCAAACGAAACAAAACGTAGACAATACGGTACATACTTAAGATGAAGTTTGCTCTATGAGTTGTCTAAACAGTGTTTAAAAAAGCCGGATTAGAAAAATTGAAAATCACAACTCAAGAACTTCAAAAAACAGTTGAATAAGTACCTAAGGTTTGTGTGTTTTCGGCAAAAGCATTAACACTATGAATTTTTGGCCTCAAATCATGTTGCATCAAATAACTGTGAGCAAGAGTTACGCAATCATCAATCTCATGTTGGCGCTTTTCGAGTTCTTGCTCCAGGTTCTAAAAAGAAGTAAGTTGAACGGTAGACTTAATGAAAATATGACAAAAACTTATAAAGAAAAAAGAATACTTTCAAGAACGATTTTTTCAAAAAGAAATGACACCAGTTGGTACTGCCATTTTACAAAGATACCTTGACTAATTCATTTTGTTTCTGAACCCGAGCTAAAGTTCTACCCACTGGTTGCTCATCTCGAAGGGTCTTCGTTCTGGACTCTACCCAAAATAAATTCTCCGAAAGTTGTGAAATCAACCTTTCCCACTCTTTTTGAGCATCAATAAGTCGCTGTCTAAAAAAATTTTTTCACCACCAATGAAATTATGGAAACTCAAAGCCTGAAAAAAACGTAAAGGAAAAGCAATGATTAAACCAGACCGAAATACAAAAGAAACCTAATGGAGTCATCGAGGTTCCTCATCTTTTTCCAATTCTCTTTAACCGTCTCCAATCTTTCAATCAAACCTTCTCGTTCGCTATTATTTTCAGCACTACGCACAAGTTGAGAGCCCATCTCACCGACCGAGTTTACGAGGTCTTCATGAGCGTCCATTTCCAATTGAAAGCACTAAAAATTTTTCATACAGAGAGTCCTATGCGAAATGTCGACATTTAAAACTTTTACAACAAATATCCTCTAAGTGTCAATAGAACTGAGACTTTTTTTTAGCCTTATAGCGACAAGCTTTTCACCCAATAGCCAAATAAATCGCGAAATCAAACAAGCCTACTCTTTCTGCATCTATCCAGTCTTTCCGCTTGAGGGAGTCCTTGAGAAGCTGCAAATTACAGGTGCATTCATCCAGCTTTACCAAACTAGAGTGCATCTTGGTCATCCATTCTTCTAACTGCACTAAAGCTGATTGAAAATCGCTTCGAGAACGTAATGCAGCTTCCAAGACTGCTCGTCTAATGCGCAAACTGTAATATAATAGGGAAATTTAAAATTAAAAATGTATAGTAAAAAAAGCTCTAAATTGAAAATGTTCAATTTGTCTTTTTCACCATAATCAATCCATATCAAATGTCTGAAATAAGGATTTAAAAAGGAAATCTTCAAGGTTACAAACACCAACTTATCGTTGAATTTCGACCATAAATTATTGATTCTTGAAGTTGCATGTGAAAGATTATGCCCTTCATCAAATCTGTATGTATCTAACAATGTGTTGCTCCGCGAATTCATTTCAGCAATCTTCTCTTTCATTTCGTTAAAACTCTGGTCCATTTCTTTTAATTCTTCCAATTCACTACGCAGACCTTCTTCATTCAGCTCACTAGCCTTACCTCCCGCATCCAACCTAAAGAAAGTTGTGATTTCCCCAAATCATCCTTTCCAAAAATTCCTTGGTAAGTAAACCTCATACTTTTGTTGTGATTCTGTTAGCCAAAGTTGAACAATGCACTTCAGTTTCTCCCAAGCCCGGCTTTCATTCAGCATTTCATTCAAGACGGCTTTCCTTCGTTTACACTCTGCCAAAATCCGATCCCAATCTCCCAATGTTAACTCAGCTTTCTCACGCACAACTTGATCGCCACTCTCGTTCAAGATACGAAGGAGTTCGAGGTGTCTAATTTTCAACTGGTCGATAAAAGACTGGAAATTTCCCAATTTTTAAAAAAGTCGACTAATATCAGAGAAGCTGTCAAATAACCTAGCAAAAGGAACCTGAATAGCATGAGCTGCATCCCTGATTGCCTGCAAATTTATTATGTCAACAGAGATTGAAGCATCTCGCTCAGCCTCCGAAAGCCAGTGTCGTAGCTGAACAACAGTGCTTAGCAGACGCTGATCTTTTTCTGATGCAGTCTTATGCACTGGACTTTCTCTTTCAGATACAGTGTCCTTTAGAGACGTATATTCAATAAGACCTGGTTCATTGACTTCTTCAGTGTTGCTTCGGACAGAAAGCTTACTTTCCGAGGCAGCTTCTTCTCTCGCAGGTGACTCTTAAATACCTTATTTGTTGACACATGACCCAACATTTTTTACGATAAGTCACTACGAGTATTTCCATGAAAAAACTTAAAACCAGTAACGTAAAATTTTACCCGAGAAAGACGAATCCTGCGCGAGGGTCGGAACGTGAGCAACCGAAGCTATCCTCTCTTTTGTCTGTTCCCACTTTGCTAAAAGATCAGCGACTGCCTGAAAGAAACTTATCGTTTGCAAACTAATTCACTTAAATTAATAAAAAATAATAATCTCTAAGATAATAACCGCGTTCTGATTCTCGTCAACAGGAGAGTCCTTCGAAACCACGATTTTCCAACGCCTTTCAATACTTTTAACTAAATCTTCAATCTGTTCCTGTCTTGAGCGTACATAATCAAGGTCAGCACCAGACGGAACAACCAAGTTAGTTTCTTCTACTCTAAACAATTACCTCCAAGTTTGTCTCAGGGAAATTCAGTTTATATCTCCCGACAAGTCTCGCAGTTTTCAACTACGGAAAAAGAAAACCGAGAAAATTTAAATAACATCAACTTTAGCCGGCCAAGAAGCACAAAGAACATACATCTGTACAGCTCGTTCAGCTCGGTTGCAAAATTTGAGCGCAGTTGCAATATCATCTTGGAATGTCTTTGCATCATTAATAATACTCATTACGGTTGCCTTCTTTTTATCCATAACTTCTTTCAACTTTCAAAAACTTTGTTCAAAACATGTCACCAGCAAAATAACAAACAAAAATCAAAAAATGAGACAATTTACAAATTTTTTGAAGCTGATAATCAAGTATAAAGCATTTTTACTTCAACCCAATTTCGAACAAATAATTTTAAAAAGTTACATTTATCACACGCTTTTCCAAGTCTGACACTGCGCACTGCATCCTCTGTTTCACTGAAGGGTCAGCTAAGTTCGAACTGATAAACCGTTCTTTCAAAGTCTCAATTTTATGAAGTGATTCTAGTTTTTCTTTATACTCTGATAGCCTTTCCTAAAAAGCGGTATAAGACTTTACTACCACTTCAGTAGAACAAAAAAATTACAAAAATCCTCTTTCTTAAATACCCACTTTGAAAAACAACATTTCAAAGGGCGCTATTTCTGCTAAATATACAAAAAAGCGGAAGAACGACACCAGAAGTTTTTTAGAGAGGTAGGGCTATAAGGCTGGTTATAAGGTTGCCATTTATTTTAAAATATCATTTGACGAATTTCAAATCTCCATCACTATAGTTTTAAAAAATTCCCGAAGCATGACACAAAAAAAGCAGCTAAAAGCAATAAAACCGTGGGTGTTTTCATGAAAAAAAAATTAGCAAAACAGCTTCGCAAAATGACTACCAAGCTGTAGACCACTTCACTTCAAAAATTGAAAAAGTTACCAACACTAACGAGACCCAGGATAAACGCCCAGGAATGTGAAACTTTAACTCACAAATTGCTAGCTCAAATAAAAAATTGTTCTTACAGCAATTCTAGCATCCATTTCTGTAGCTGCACCAGTAGTCATGACATTTTCTGTAGATGAACATTCAGTTTCAGTCTCGTCACACCTGGAAGATATCAGTTAATCTGAAAAACTAAAATTTTAGAGGAATCACAAAGATAACTAAGAAACGTGAAAATAAGCAAATGGTACCAAAATTCCAAAAGTTCAATTTCGTTAATCAAGTCTGATCTATCTGCTAAACGTTCGTCAAGAGAACGACGTTTCTCATTCACTTTAATTTCACAGCTTTTCCAATTCTCTCCTAATTTACGAAGGTTATCTTCGATAGTTGATGCTTCGGAATCCCCCAACTGGGCGATAATTGGCTCGGCCTAAAAAATCGCTGTTTTCAAAATAATAAAAGATGCTGAAACCGTAGCTAAATCATTTATATCCGCACTATTGTGACGCAGGGTCTGCGCAAGAAAAAAACTGAAGCGACGCTCTAATTGAGCATTTTAAAGCTCAACGTTGCAAAAATTGTTACTGTTCACTTGTGCAGTAATTGGCTGACCCATTAAACATTCAACCATCCCTAGTTACAAAGAAAGAAAACCAATTTTATTTTATAAAAAAGTAAAATTTTTCACCAAATCCAGTTGCCATTAACATTTGTGAACTTTACAAAAAAAAACTCTTCATAGTAATCCTACATTGTGTTAAAATTCCTAAACAGCTTGCCTTGCCGTTTCAAGGTATTCTCTACCCACTTTAGAAATCCCCAAAAATATTTCTAATATTTTGTTTCTGCACTTCCGCAAGAGAAATTACATCCAAAACAAATCGTCTGATAAATGAATCCTGTTTTTTCTACTTAATATTGATACACATTCTAAAGCAACCGCGAGATTTGTAGAGGTTTTAATCTCTGAAAAAATAACTTCACTAAAACAACTTTACATCCAGAACTTTGCTCTAGAAGTACGCTTTCTATTCTGCGAAAAGCACTTTACAGAGCAAATTCGACGAGCGTCCATTGCGAAGCTGCGCTTTTAGCTATCAACTCCACCAATGGTTAAGAACAGGATTCAACAGCCAGATAGGAGGACATAAACTTGAGGGAAAGAGGCAAAAAGACTACTTTAGGAAAATAATGAATCAAAATGCAAGAAACTAAAAGACGTTTAATAGGAGTCATCCAAAACACCCTCTATTGCATAACAAGCATAGAAGCTGGAGATAAAGAGAAGTACAAAGAGACTTTTCCAAACGGCAATTATAAAATTGTACTTTGGAATAACAATTCTCAAAAACACCGTCATCCAAAGGAATAAAATATACTCTTTAACTATTCATATTTATACAAATTTGAGTTTGAAGTCTTTGTTCGATATCGTGCAAACGACTGTACAATAAACCAGCAGCAAATTTTGCACTAAAACTTAAACTAAAAATTTTTGAAAAGAGCTTTGTTTTAGTTTTTATCTCACATTAACCCCACCTCAACTCCCCTCCAACCGTTGAGAGCTCACAGTGGTAAAGAATCAAAGGAATTGAGAAATTGCAGCACTAGAAAATGTAAAAGTTGATCCAAATCTACAAAACTTGTTAAAAAATTGCTAGCTTTCTGCAGAATAAATTATTAGAAAATAAAGTCACCCTACTTTCAAAGATGTGTGTTGTATCTGTGCGTATGCCTGTTGCAATCGGTCACTCAATAAAACTGTGAGGGACTCCAGTTCATCAAGGTCTGGAGATTTATTTCGGCCTTCAAAACCAGAAAGGACAACACTGATCTTACTTAACAGATCCTCACTCGTTTTCAGATTCAAATCAAGCTCGTTTCTCGCCTCAACCATTTTTCCAATCTCACTAAATCGTACATGTCAGAAATCTAAAAAATTTAGAAAAGAAATGTGTTTTCAAAAGTAGCCACAAGAATAATACTTCTGTTTTGCAGATAATGATGAACGCAGCAAAGCAATCCTTTCCTTTGCTGCCTCAGACTCCATAATATCCATAGTCATCTCTGAATCACAGACCGTTCTTTCGATTTTATCCAAGGCGTTACTTAAAATCTGAAAAAAAAATGGTAAGCTGTAGTGATAGATACTTGGCGTTGAAGTGACACTAGGAAAGAACATTACCCTCAACTTATCTCCCTTCTCAGACAATCTTTCAAATGGAAAAGGATCATCAACAGAGATAGACTCCTCTATTTTATCCATTTCTATGTAAGCAGTGGCCAAGGTATCGGCAATGTCAATTTGTATCTTTGGAGGAGGCGAAGAATTAAGTTGAAAAGCTTCATATTTGGTTTTTTCATCATCTGTTTCCTACCAAATAAAAAGGAGTTTTTAATCCATAAGGAAGAAAAAAATCCAGGAAAATACGCATGCTGTGGAGTTTGCAAAGCAGTCAAACTGCATTAGTGTTTATAAAATTTGAGAATGAAATCAGCTATTATAAAGCTATTTTGAATTTTTGTTCAACTGAACGATGAAAAAATAAACTTCTTGTTGACGTCGCAACATAGTATCACGAAAATCAAAGAGGCAGTAAAAAAAACTAGTAAAAAAGTAATGAAAATCTTTATAAAAGAAGAAAAATTGAAGACGCATTACGGCAGTTACCTGCACATCAAGGGCAAGAGACGGCCCTCCTGCGCTAGAAACAGAAACTGTATCTGGTCCTACACTTCGATCCTCAAAAGATGGAGCAGAAGAAGCATAACCCGAGTGTAGCTCCCTTTCGACTGCTTTCCTTTTCATTGCAGCTCCGATTTCTTCCTCTATTAAACGGACCTGAGCGTATATTTCATCCACTTCTTTATTTGCAAAACCAGACGAGGCTCCAGGAAGACAACCATGTAAGTCCTCACTCTTCCGATGAAGTTGTTCTAGTTGGGACTGTCTGTCTAGCAAATCACGCTGAGTTGCCTAAAAGTAGCATAGACTTAAATAACATTATTGCTGGAATGTCCTGGTTTTCTAAATCCATTTATAAGTTGCAGCAGTCTCCGTGAAATTTTTCCATAAATTTTTTTTGACTAAAACCTAGGTTTCAATAAAAAAAGATATGGAGAGAAACGCCTCACATTGGCGATCGCAGGTTCAGAAAGGTCACGAGCAGCCAATTTATCCAAAACCTCTTTCATAACACGAATTTCCCTTGAAAGAGCTTCCGCTTTGGCTTGCAATGGAAGTAACAAGGCACTGTTTGATTTTATTGACAATTCTACCTGAAAACATTAAAACTAATGATGAAACTCCTAGTTTCATTTTAATTAATTTTAGAAACCTCTAACCTCATTTGCGAGATCCACCACGTTATCAAGGCTTTCTAGAGCATCATGAACTTCCAGCTCCATTCGACCTCTGCTCGCGATCCTTCTACCTTCCTCCAACATAGCTTTCATTTCATCTCCGTAATTAAGAAGCCAATTGTTGACTGTCTGAAGTCTAAGCGTTAGGAGAAATAACTTATTTAAAAATTCTCCCAAACAAGTTTAAAGTTTTAACTTCACCCACAAACACTTATTATATAACCAATTTTGCAATGGTTAGTGTTTTCAGACCAAAATGCTTGTAATTTTAAAAATTGCATTACATCCCCAACCACGATTCCTTCGTGCTAACAAACACTAGTTCGTACACTATGCCGGAGTGACCGAGCCAAAGTCAAGGAGAAGTTATTTGATACTACTAGCCTCCACCTTTTGCTTCAGAGACTATAAAAACGAAATCAACAACTTCCCTTCTTCACTCACACTCTAATCAATCTTTGTTCTCATGTCTGTTTAGAACTGTTGACTTGCTCCATACGAAATGGAATGAATATTCAACCTGACCGCTGTATCGCTAATCATGAGTATTTAAGCAATATACGTTTCTTCTGCTTTAACTCCACTTCATAACACTTGAGAATTATGCCACCCTATAGTACTCCCTAAGAACAACTGAAGTAGAAATATTTCACCTCACATAATAGAAACCCGCTCCTCCCATTGAAGTTACACCTGGCAAGTGCCAGTAACACTAATTCCTAAACAAGTTCATACAATTTCTTTAAGATGTGCTTAAAAGGATGACCTGAATGCGATCTGCCCATTCTGGAACTGATGTAACTGGATATTTATTGAAATCAATGTAATTCTTCGCGACTGTGAAAACCTCATGAAACGTTGCTACCTTCTGCTGGAAGGAACCAACAATCTTGAGATCTGGAAGTGCGCTAGGGAACTGAGGTGGAGGAACCGAAAAACGAGACTTCTGAGCCTTCTCTTCTAATCTATTCCATCGTTCTTCAACCTGAAAAGCGGGGTAAGATGATCAAATTTCAACTGCATTCATGCAGTAAAACAAACGTATATTTGGACACCTAGTCTAAAAAATAAAAAGTAAACCATACCTGACATAAAGAGAGACTAAATTTGGACTCAACATCAGGATTAGTTTTGATTAATCGTCTGTACTTCTCAAGAAGCAATCCCTTCTCAGCTCGATTCTTGTCCAATTCAGAGATTAAATCCTAAATTCACTCATTTTTAACTTTGAACAGCATGAAGCAAAAGCCGTCAACAACAAAAAACGACACAGCAAAAAAAGCACGCAATCGTTACATGCATGTCATCAAGCTCTTCTGCAGTATCAAGTATTTTAATAAACCGAGCATAAACAGTATCAAATTGAGCCAGATTTGATGCGCTGTCTTCAGCCATTCCCTTAAAAATATCTCTCTAAGAGTCCAGAAAGAAAAAAAGAAAAAACGGAAAGTGACAAAAAAATAAAACTTTTAATAGCAGTAACTGTTTTCCTTACCCGACGATGGCTTGTCAAATTTTAGCTAAACAACCTGATCTGTTAACCGTTACCAGTTGGCACTAATTTGAATTACCTTGACTGCATCAATCCACGAACGAAGATCTGCATGAGTCCTTCGAATCCGTCTCCAACGCTGCTCAATTAAATCGTCGTTAAATTTCACTGATTCTCTCTTTAGATTCTTAGCAATCTCTTCGGCCGTTGACAATGACGTCTCATTCCTTAAACAGTAGTCTTTACTGATGTGAATCTAGTAAAAGAAACCCGGTCAAATTTGGTTCAAAAAAACCAGTTGAGCCAAAAGATGTTTTCCACTTTTAATTACCTGTTCAAATCATTTTGTAAAGCTTCTAGAGCCGACTGGTCGACCTCAGCGTTATCCACGCCATCAGACTGAGTAAAAAGATCTAGTTTTGATTCAACGTTATCAATTACTTTGTCAATCTCCTTAAGATTATCATCAAGACGACCAATAAGCGGGATGCAGCTTTTCAAACGATCGATTGTTTTTGCATTCTGAGGTGCAAAACACATTGAAATAAAATATTTGAAAAATGAAAACCAGATGTAACGGTTACGAAAGGATAAGACATTTGGCTCCCAACAACCTGACCTTATTCTCAAGACTATCAGTTCGCTCACAAAAGCCAGTAATTTTGCTGTCCATCTTTTCTGCGCACGCTTCAGTTAATAAACGATCTTTTAATAAAGCGTTCTTTGAATCTTTCAATTCTTGTATATCTGTTCTGATCTACAACAAGCATTTGATAATTGCTTTGACACGATTCCAATACCAGAAAGATACGAAAACGGAATTAAAGACATGACGTAAACTATACTTTTTGAACTTGTAGTGCAATTTGCTTAGCATGATCTAGTGCAGCAGAACAGGAATCGGCCGAAACAACTGACAACTCCCTTACGTTACTTTCTATGCCACTAATATCCCTTTCCACTCGTTCTACCTTAGTTTCAAGACCATTTGGTTGTTTGTATTCATTGAATCTCTCAGTCAGTGCTTCAAACTGTTGCTGAAAAAGCAATTTACAAAAAAATGTGATGTGAATTTTCAGAGTCAAAAAACCAAAAGTTAACTAGAGAGAGAAGTGACCTCTTGTCAAATAATATAATGCAATTCATCATGTTATCAGATATTCAAAAAGTGAAGATCATATTACTTCTATGTGGCCAAGCTGAAGCTGAAACCGGTTTGAGGAGCTCATCAAGTCTGTCTTCGCTTTCGGTAACTCCTTCCAAGACTTAATCTGACTTTCATATTGATCAAATTCCCGTTGTAAATTCTGTAAAAATCATCACGCATGAAATAAAAAGAGAACTCCCTAAGTAAAACAAACAGTTTTTATACTTCCAAAGAGAAGCCAAACTCAGGACGACAAATTTAAACAACCTTGAAACTAAAAAAATAAAAAGGAATCCAAAGTAATCTTGCAATCCAAAAACGAAAAAGAGTTCTGTCGGTTAGAGTAGTCTGCATGTACTTTACATCATAACACCAGTCAAAAAAAGAATATGAAAAAAGTGGAACATTAGTTTCCATGAGCAATGCCTTTGGTTAAACTGGGAGTGTTAAAATGCAAGTCTAGAAAAACAAGTTTTTGAACTTCAAAAATGGAGAAGTTAGAATTATTAAAATTAATATGTTAAAGCAAATGCAACAAAAATAAGATATATAATAGGAAAGAAGGTGACACCCAAATATTTGTAACTGAAAACCAAAAAACTTCAAGTAAACTAAAAGTTATTTGAAATAAAAGTAAAACTTTTTGCCTGGAGATGCTTAATGACAATTATAAAAGATACTTTTCGTGCAAACTGTCTACTTCATGACAAAACTAACAACAGTTAACGTACGACTCACCGCGATGAGTGTTCCTGAGAAAAAACCTTTCTGAAAATTGAAATACTTTTTATGTCTTTCTAATGTGTCAAAAAGCTCAAATTTAAAACTTGAGAGCAACAAAACTGTGAAGATAGAAGTGCACCTCAGGTAGTATAAGTACAAGTACACCTTATAAATAAATAAAGTGGAAAGCACAAAATGATAACATTTCAGCATCAACACTGTAAAACATCCAATGCCTTTCCGACTAGAAATCTAGAAGACTTTTGAATTGCACGAGCCAGTAAAGCTTAACTCATTTAGAAAGCAATAAAACAATCAAGGACTCTAACCGCAGTAAAATTTACAATATTGATGTTCTCCATACTAAAACGTTTAAAAAATAGATGGTGACTATTGAACAAGAAAAAAAAAAAAGAAAACAGAAGAACTGAAGTGACAAGTGAAGAATAAAACCTTATATTCATCTGGAACGTCTAAAGCAGACACGTCGTCAGAAGCACGACATGAAAGAATGACATCAACATGGTCATGCCATTCGCGAAACTTCGCCAATAATGTTTCGAACTGTTCCCACTTCTGAATTGAGGCATTCAGTTCTGTAATCCGAGTTCTAGCGTCTTTAATCACCAATGCTGCTTCTTTCTTGACCTCTCCCAACTAAACTTTCAAAACTCATACGCAGGCAAAAATGACTTGAAATACGAAAGAGATCATTAGAAAACACAAGCTCACACATGTATTCGGTATAGGGATGCAAAAATAAACGTAAAAATGAACATAAACAAATGAATAAATAAATATATATATATATATATATGGGCCATTCCACGTTAAATC